TATGCATAATCTGTAAGAGATATATATGTGCTTATTGTTATGCTATCAATGGTCATTGAAGCCACTATTGAGTTTGTAACGTATGGGAAGTAATTCTCTTGCTGGTTCCTGACTCTTGCATGCTTATTTTTTAGAAGATTCGTCATCCTCGGAAATTGATGCCACTGTCATCTATAGTAGTATCCCACCGGATTTAAACATGGAATCTATGTCCCGTGCCACAAAGTCTAGCATAGTCGGTGAAATGCTTCGTGTCTCGAAGGGCCCGAATGGGAAGCTAAGCATTTTCGCATGTGAAGCAGCGGAGAGATCACCTCCATCTGTGAGCTTTCATACTTTTTTCTTCTTTATAAGTTCATATTGATCTTCAGGTTTATGACCGCGGGCAACCCTCGTCTTGTGTGGTGTGCCATCGTACAATAGCTGATCGTGAGATGTTTTTGAATTTTCCCGATGACTTGGATAGAAGACGGTTGTGGGGAAACATGCTGGGCTTCAAATATTCAGTTAGTACTTAGTGGATTTCCGTTGGCAATTTTATATTGAAGGAGTAAACTTAGGATATGCTTCGTTTACGTGATGGTACAATTATGCTCAGTACCGGCAATATTTGTACGGATCACTTTTCTGAGGAGTGTTTTAGGTAAGAGTTTGCTTTAAGTTTAGTTCAAGCTCAGTTTCGAATTCTCAGGTCCCATGTTACCGTGGATCTGATCTTAAATTTTCTAGCGGTATCGTGTATACTTTATGTATTCTCCTTATTAATTTAAATTTATAGCCACAGAAATTCTCTTCCAACAATATCTTAAACTTCTTATAACCATTGTAATAATTATGGACAGATGGGGAAGCGTGCGTTTGGTATCCGATTTTCGCATTCTAGTCCAACTCATCTAACACAAAAAAAAGTTCAGTATGGTACCTTCTCAATTCAAGCCTTTCCTTGTTAGTCTTTTACGGAGAAGAAACCATCGATCCGCGTTTTTGATGTTTTATGCTTAGCGAATATT